CCGTCTGATTTTTAAGTAAGCAGTGTAAGGGCATACCATAGGAACACAGGACTTGTCAGACTGGCTCCAACCCGACATCTGTCTACTTCAGTAACTTGTCTCTGGCAGTGGCCAGCACCAGATGCTTCAGAGGAAGGTGAAAGACTCCATAGAAGGCAGATATGGGATAATTTGCCCCCATGAAGGTCTCATTTTAATAGCTAGCGATTAGTGTAAATCCTGAAGCATGTTTTATATCCCTTCCAAATTTCTTCTATTAACATTAGAATTCTGGATATTCTTGTTTATCCATATAGTCACCCAGTCTCTCTTTAAATCTTGCTAAGTTTTCAGAGACCTATTTCAGACTATAAAATATGCAGTTGCTTTTTGTCTGGAGAGGTCTCAATGCTGTCACCACAGGACACTAAATTCCAAGGTTTGCCAGACTACAGTACCATGGTGTCTACCTTACCAGACTAGGGGAATCCAGATCAGAATGGATGATCATCTTATGTATGAAAATGTGGAAGTTAGGGCACATCTTCACTGTGGCAGCGTTTTAATGTGGCTTGTGTAGTCGCAGACAGTTCTCCCAGCGCTCTAAAAAAACCACCTCCACAAGGGGAATAGATCCTAGCGCTGGTGCACTGTCTACACTGGCACTTTACAGCGCTGAAACTTGCAGCACTCAGGGGGGTGTTTTTTCACACCCCTGAGTGAGAAAGTTGCAGCGCTGTAAAGTGCCAGTGTAGACAAGCCCTTAGACTGAAATTTCTACACATGCATAACTGTTCAGTCAATTCTTAGATCAGAGAGCATAATGGCCAATGCCTTCTGTAGAAGTAACAGCTTGTGGGAGGAAGCTTCGCTAAACCCAGAGGTATTCCTCAAGTTGTGCCATCCATAGGGAAATATGGAGATAGCATTGTTTGCTGCCTGTCACAAGGATTCAGGAGGTCCCTATGGAGTGAAGAGGTTTGTGATCCCCTGGAAATGTCCCAAAGTCCTGAGCCTATTTCTGCTTTCAGTTTGGAAGAATGCATCCCCCCCACAGGAGTTATAGGGACTTTGTTTTGTAGGCAGAATCAACTCCAGGCAGAGGAAAAATTCTTTCTGTATTTCAGAGACTGATTCTGGACTGTTTAGTCAGTAGTATGGCAGATGGTAAGTCTGTGACCACTATAACAAAGTAATGCCTGTGGAATAGTGCCTCTCTTCCCTGAGGCAAAAAATACAAACAAACAACTCCTCCCCCCCCCCCCCCCCCGAGGAATTTGGCATACTTGCCAGGGAAGACTCCCTAACCATAGCAATTAAGTTCAAATATGACTCCTTTGGGGACATTAATGTTCTGCTGAGTCATTTTATAACCTCAAGTTTGATTATGCAGCCTTATGCATACTGATCAGCACTTAGTAATGCAAGTATTCCAACTGAAACCCCAGGACAGGGGTAAGAGAACCTAAAGGAGTCCTATTCAGGCTTAAGCAGTTTGGCTTGGGAGCCATCCCTGATGAGTGTTCCACATACCTTGATTTGGCAGTTGCCTCATGGAACTTAAAACCCAACACACAGGAATCCTTAATACTCATTCACTTAATAATGCAAATCGTTCTCCGGGACAAAACCCACACATCGATGAACAATAGTTTATTTGTATTCATAAAATAAGCTTTAGGTATAAAGGAGTAATACACATTGAAAAGTTAACGCACTACACAGAAAGTTGTGATGTCCTTTGTGTTTAGATCTAGGGCCACATTTTAGCTTGTTGGGTTCACATCTGTTTGGAAAATCTGGCCACCAGTGTCACGGTGGGAGCTGCTGAATACTGAGCCCTTTTGAAAACCAAGCTCCTGTGGTGGGTGCTCTACACTAAAAACCTGGCACTGAGCTCTTTCAAAAATCTGTTTTACAACATGGCATCTTTTCCTTTTACAGAGCTGGTTAGCCAGGTACAGCATTCTACAGAAGATCTTGTTTTTGGTTAAAAGTATTTGTTTTTATTAAGTGAGACTTACTTTGTGCTCCCAGGTCGCTCTCTCATCTAATCAATTGTTTTAGGAACAGCTGGGGACTTCCACTTTTCAAGAATCATTTTTTGGCAATCAGCACAGTCCTTACTAGTCATTTCTCTTGATTATGAGCTCCATCTTTCATGGACGTTAGGTTTCTTAGGATTTGTAAAGATGAGTCATGAGAAAGAGAGATTCTCTGGCACGAGATGTGTTCTTTCTTGAAGCTGTTCCAAAAAGAGTTGATAGTCTTTCACTTCCAATTTGCCTGTATTGAAGGCCACTGCTACTTTCTTGCATGATCAGCATCTGTTATTTGATTTGAGTCCAGTACCAGACATCGGTGTGCTGTAATTAGGAAGGACTGACTGTTGTTTCTAATATAGAATATTTTTAAAACAATTTGATGGAAAAGACGTTACAAGATGTGTGCTTGTTCTTACAAGCTCTCCTTTTGCAGAATTCCCAATGAAATTGGAATGCAGGATAAGGCCCTATATTAACACTGCAGCCATAAAAGGCATGCTGTTAAGATATTTAGGGTCCAAAATATGGTCTTCTCTTTATCCCACCCAGTTTATCCCATGTCTTTGCTGAAGCCCTGGAATTATTTCCATTATTATCTGATCTATACCTCTCCAAACTAAGATTCCCACATCAGTCTCCATCCTTCCAGCTAAATAGAAATTAATGGAAATCTCTTCTTCACTCCTGTTTTTCTTTCAGTTGGTAGGGGGTTGTCAGTAAATGATGTCTGCTTATTATCCATGGTGTCTCTAACCCCTGCTAGTCCATGTAGCATGTGACCAGGACTGACCCATTGAATGTAACCTACCATAACACTGTTACAATCTGATAGGAACAGTCCACAGAATTCTAAGTAGCTATGTTATTGCGGCTTAAAAAAAAAAAAAAAACTAGAGAGATTAAAACTAAAAAGGAGGAAGGACAGTTCAATAGTTAAGGCACTGCCTGCCTTGCCACAGGTTTCCTATTTGATCTTGGGCAAGTCACTAAGGCCTGGTCTGCACTAGGAAACGAGGTCAGTATAACTACGTCGCAGAGGGGTGTGAAAGATCAACACCCCTGAACAATGAAGTTAAAACAACCTAACCCCAGTGTTGACAGTGTTCGGTTGACAGAATAATTCTTCTTTCAACCTAGCTACCTCCTCTCAGGTAGGTGGAGCACCTACACCAATGGGAGAACCCCTTCAGTCTGCATAGATAGCATCTTCACTGAAGCACTTCAGAGGTGCAGTTGCTCCGCTGCAGCATTTTAAGTGTAGACAAGTCCTAAGTCTCTCTCTGTGCCTCAGATCCCCGTCTGTAAAGTGAGGATAACGATACTTCCCTTCTTCACAGTGGTGTTATGTGGATAAATGCATTAAAGACTGTGAGGCACTCATATACTACAGTAATTAGGGGCCATATAAATACCTGAGATAGATAGATAGATAGATACAACTACTACTCCTCTGACAAGAAACTGAAAACATAAATAGCCACCTAACAAATTTTGGGATGGGGGGTAGATAAGTTCTTATACCAATATCAAGTTAAGATTAAAATATTAAGTGAAAACAGCCATTATTTCAGAAGCAGACAGGCAAAATGTGTAAGGGAGAATATTTTCAAACCTCTAAGAATATTAGAAATGCTGCAGAGGAAAAATAACAGAACATGACTTGACAGAGTACTGCTAACTATGATGGTGTTAAATAGCAAATAGGAATATGATCAAAAGATCAGAACATAGAAGCATAGAAAATAGAGATGGAAAAGATCTATTACAGACGTGAGCAAACAACGGACTGCGGGACTGTCCTGCCCGGCCTCTGAGTTCCCGATCTGGAAGCCTAGTCCCCGGCCTCTCCCTCGCTGTCCCCCCCTCCCACGCAGCCATGCCGCCGCGCGGGCCACGCTCTGGTCTGCCGTTCCCACTGGGCAGCGTGGGGAGCACAGCTGGCTCTGGCCAGGTGTCGCTGCTGCAAGCTCCTGGTGCTGGTAAGGGGGCGGGGAGCAGGGGGGTTGGGTAAGGGAGCGGGAGTCCTGGGGGTCAGTCAGGGAGGAGGGGGCAGTTGGCAGCTGCATCCCATCCACCACTTAGGGGAGCCACAATTGCATCCCTCTCTCTACTCCATGGCTGCTATGGTGGAGCCAAACACCACCCAGTTGAGAAGACCAAGGGAGAGGGATTTAGTGAGAGGCTTTGAGTCATGTCCCCCTGTCAGGAATTTACCAACTAAAACACTTGTTTCCCTGATCAGCAGTAACTGCTCCTCTGCAATTTGAATAGACAGTGCATAGGGCATGTGTGACTAGATGATATCAGCTGAGCCAAAGTGTAAGAAGGCAGGGATGTGAGCTTTCTTGCCATGTGCTATGGGAGGCCTGTTGGGGAACCCTCAGAGGCTGATATCTACAGGTAATCCTGTAGATCTTGGTCATCTGCAAGAATTGATGGTATGACTTCTGGCAGTGGCACATTAGCACCCCTTTCCTTCCTAGAGGAGGAATGAATTCCTATTGTACATGTTGCACACGGGAAGGAGAGCACTGCACTCTTAATTCTTTTACTTTTTCCTGTAAGCCTACCTCCAGCCCTTAATCATGTTAATGGTCTTCTCTGAATTCTCTCCAAATTGTTAAAGAAATTCATACCAACCATTAAGAGCAGTAATTAGTTTCTAGTACATGCCTTTTTAGCCATTGTCATAACAAGAGTTTAAGTCATGCCACTTAGAATGTCTTGCCTTTTATCTTTCTGTTGTGGTTTAATTGTATTTGAATGTGATGTTTTGTTGTGTTTAATTAAAAAGATGTTTCACGTGAAATACTAGAAGTTACAATTACAATTGACACTTGCTAAATGTGAAATGTTTTTCTTTCCTTAAAACCTTCCTTTCAAGATACCCTCTTTTCCCATAGCCCCTTTCACTGTCTTTAAATACTAGTGATTCCTTTAGCTCCACTCCCATCACACAATCTTCCTGTATCTTAGAGTCTTGCTGCCAGATGAGAACATTGGACAGTGGGATAGGAACTTTCCCTCTCCCAGACTCAGGAAACCGGTCAACTGGACGATATGTTTCTAAGCAAGAATCAACTTTAGAAACTGAAGTCTTCATGCCTCCTGAGCAAGCCCTTCCTTCAGCTCCTTCAATAAAAGCCAGAACTCTTGAGCGAGAAGTGCCTTCAACAGCTAAGAGCCCAGAATCTGTGGAAAACATGATTAGTCATTCAACATCTGATCCTACCATGACTGCCAAAGTTGTACGACCTTTTCAAAGTCGCCTTCCAAAACCAGTCTCCTCAGGTAAAATGCCAATTACACTGGAAATTAGATTATTTCTGCCCTAATGTCTGTTTCCATTAACAGAAGCCCTGTAATAGTGACGTTAGATAATGGGAATGCTAAGCCTGTAGCAGAAAAGATTCCTTATGTGAATATATAAGGTTATCAAATTGGTGACCTGAGTCCAATGGGAATTTGGTTGCTCATAATGCATATCTGTACCTCAAAGAAAATTGTGCAAAATGTTAAATCCCTTCCTCAAGAAACTATATTTGAGAGAAAAGTAGGGCCAGCCCTCAGAAATGCTGAACACTGGTGATTCCCATTGATTTGAATAAGAATTTCATGTGTTCAGCAACTTTCAGAATCAGGCTCTCAATTTGCTGTCAGTGGCCATATTGTGATATTAAATGTTAAAATGACACATTCATAAACACTTGCTTTCAAAACTGAACTTGGAATACAAAGTAATTTGGAATCAGTGCATAAATTCTATACCAATGAATATTTTGCCTCAATTATAAACATAAGTCTTTTGACATGTTACTGCACTGTACAATTGTATTTATAGACAGTAGTAAAAAACACTTATTTTGATGGATCAGCAGGATGTGCATTAAATATAACATATAAAACAATAGCTCCCAAAGAATGAAAGATGCATGCTAAGGCCCCAATCCAGCAAACACACACATGAGTATCTTTATATATACAAACTGAATTGAATATAGTCCCACTGAGTTCAATGGGACTGCCAATGTGTAAAGGTACATGTGTGTATGTGTGTTTGCAGGCTTGTGGCCTAAAAGTACAAGTACCAGTAAAAAAAATGGATGTTTATTACACCGCAGTATTTATCTTTATCATGGAGTAATTTCTGTACTTAAAATGGGAAATATTGCAAATAACAGAGTAAATTAAACTGCTTTGGGTGGTGTACACATTTTAATTCTTCCTACTTCAGTATTATGTATTCTTTGTATTATGGGAATGCGCAAAAGCCCCTATTAGGATTGGTGGTCTTTGCTGTTAAAAACTGTGCACTTAGACCACAAAGGGCAGATAGACATCTAATGTTTAGTTTCCTTGCTGCACAGTGGAATCCAGAGCCCCGAGTTAGACACCCAGGCTCCCTGCTCAGTGCAGGAGGAGAGTTAGGTGCCTAAGAGTGGGAGTCACTGAGCAGGGAGCTGTTTAAGCTAGTGCCCAGGAGAGGGGTGAGGCCTGAGCTCCATCTCTCAAACGGAGTCAGGCACCTCCCTCCACTTGGGATTCACAGCCATGAAACCTCTTCTGACACCTAGATCAGCTCAGCCCTTTCTCTCAAAAAAAAATGGGGGCAGCTATTCCACCCCTTATATAGCCCAATGGGAGGTGCAGCTTCAAATCCATCCTGCCTGATTTGGAAAAAGGACTTGATCCCAGGTCTCCCACTTCCTGTGTGAATATCCTAACCACTGGGCTACAAGGTATTCTGGATGTAGCTTTAAATCTCTCCTGTTGAAGCTGTTCCACTTTGTATGAAATATTTAAATATTCATTGGGCCAGAGAGAATGAAATGTGAGAGAGTGACTCTAGAGCCCAGTGGTCAGTGCACTCACCTGGGATGTGGAAGAGTCTGGTCCAAGCCCCTACTCCAATGACACATCCCAGGTAAGTGCTTTAGCCACTGGGCTACACTACCACCTCCTTCTGTGTTAGTAAGTATCCCCTGAGAATGCCCACTTGATCGGGCTCTCCAGGTGAGCTAGGTGGGGGAACATTTAGTTTGAGGATCCCACTGCGGTTTAGGTAGGAGCTAGGTGCTGGGAGTCAGGACTTAGGCAGCTTTGTGCATGCTCACCAGCAGAAGTGTAGGTGCCATGGGGACTTTCCAATGGAAATGTGGGCTTCTACAGGGTTAGGTAGCATTTGAGCAGGAGCATTGAGGATCTACATTTTGGGTTTCGGTGCCCAAAGTGACCATTAAATGTTTAAATCCCTTTGTGGATCTAGCCTTAGATTAACACATATAAACACACACTAAGAGACAGTCCCTGCCCCAAAGAGTTTACATTCTAAAAAGAAAACTATTAAAAAAACAGCAAAAAATCTACAGGCTGAAACTTTTTTGCTAACACTTTGTCAAGGTAGAGTATTTATTGCAACTAAAAAAATGACACTGATTTATTTAACTTGCATGACTCTGTGCCACATTGCCCTCATACAAGAAATCCCATGTAATGATCATGTAAGGCTAGACATCAGGTTTAAATTTAGGGTAAGGCCACCAAAGTATGTTTTGCTAAATTGCTGTTATTTAAATTGAACCTAAGACTAAATAGTCTTTCATCAGAATGTATATGAGAAGGTTTTTAATTAAACATATTGGAATGTAGTTGATTTAGCCATATTCCCATTGCAGTATATTAGAGTGCAAACACATATTGTGGTCTTTATTTCAAACTCCCCTGCAGGTTTTGAATCAAAGCTAAATAAAATATATTTTGATACATATTATTTTCGAAAGAAATGTATTGTTAATTAATGGCACAGCTAAGAGAGATTCAGAAGAGAAATCTTAGTTATAGATTATATGCTACATGCTTGAATAGTCACATGTGTGACCTCAATTCAGCAGTGTGCTATAGAGTAGACTCCATGATTAAACACTGTCATTATAACAAATTGAATAGAAACTGCAAGCATTGAATTGCTTCATAAGAAGTTGGTAGCAGTAAGATTGCACTGATTTTAATGCTAATATTCACTGCACCAACCTTGTAAGGTTTATATCTTAATTAAATTGTCGTGAAGAGATGCAAAAAAAGTAGAATACATCAGATTGTGAGGTCAACTCATTCTTTCCTGGAATATTTTCATCTGACACTTCTTCTTTACCCTTCTTCACCAAAAACACAACTATCATTTTATTCTACAAAGCACTGTTTATTTTCTTAGATTTTGGTTTTACATAATATACATGTCGTAAATAAAAAGAACTATTTGATCTAAAAAAATTCTGGAGTAAGGTATAATTTCCTATTTGTGTCTTTGTCAACAAACTGAGTTTGCTAAGTTTCTCTCCATCAGAATATAAAATAACAATACAGCTCTTCTAACGACTTCCTAAAAATCATTGTAACATTTTGTTTCTCATTTGCAAAGAGTTTATATTTTAAAAGTCAAAGACTGACTTTAAATTGTGTCTTCTCTTCTCTCCTCCTGATAACTGGGAAGTGCTTTGGGCAAGATTCTGCCACCCTTATGTTGAACAGCACCTTACTATACAAGTAGTTCCATTGAAGAATGGGATTATTTGACATGAATAGAAGTATCAGACTCTGACCCATAATTGAACACTGGATTACTCCTAAACACAATCAAATGCTGTTGTTAGTGTAATGATGATGAGATCCATAAATTGCCTAATCTCTGTCTGAATTCAGGAATAATTAACCCTCCAAAGCAAAGTGGACATGAACAAATTCTGGTGACTTCTGTTTCATTAGAGCATACTGAAAAAAATGTGGAAAACAAGAAGATTCTTCCAGACTGGAGCAGCAAGAAAGCCACTAAAAAAACAAAGGTATAAATTGAAAGAAAAATGCCAGTGGTGTAACTAGCATATATATTTAATCTAAAGACCATACTTAACTGTAAAGAGTCAAATTGCTAAATGTCCTAACTTTAATGAAAAGAATAATTAACAATCCAATACATAATTATTTGTGATTACTTGATAACATTCATTGACAAAAGGTACCTTATTATTTATTAATAATAATACAGTGCCCACAGGTATGCTTGGTACTTTGTCTCATGCTTTACAGACATTAATTACTTAAATATTATTATCTCCAGGTATTTTATAGATGAGGGAATTGAGTTGCTGTTACATGGTGGTCTTTCTTTACAAGAGATTTTGGATTTTCGTTGTTTTTTCCCTTTGGAGATACAGTTCTTTCCTGATTTTGGTTTTGCTGTTGGTGTGGTATGAGTGAGTGGATGTAATATCATTGTAGTGTAAATGGTAAAATAATCTTCTTTTGGTTTCTGTCATTTTGTTAATCCCTACAATGATCTGTCTCTCTTTCAATCCTTCCTTGTAAACGATGAAAAGGACAAATAGGCAAATGCATACACTTGTGTAAAAGCTACTGTTGATGGGTGCAGGGCTATGAATGATTAGAAGTGCCAAATGAGTCAAGCCCTGTTGGAAGAACAGGTGCAGCAGGTTAGCAAGTGGGAACCCTTGAGATATAGGATACAGGATGATTTAAAAAAAACCTCCTCAAGAAAGGGTATGGTTAAACTGATCCACAGCTAGCACGTAAACCTCACACTATTATGAACTAACATCTTTATGTTGGTTATGTTGTGATTTATGCTAATCTTTTTGTCTTATGCTGTTTTTTAACTGGTGCCCCTGTTCCTTTATAAAGCTGGCCCAGACTCTTGCTCTCCATGGTACACACAGATAAGTTAAGTGGTTAGCCTAATGTCACATTGGCAAGTCTGTGGCAGATCCTGATTAGAGTACTGCTGCCTCTCACTCCCATACTCCTGCTGCTCTTATCCAATAAGTAGCTGCCATTTTAAATCTCTGATGAATTGAGGAATGCATGGGAAAAACCAGCATCTCCAAAACTGCCATAAGAAGTGCTCATATTAAAAAAAAGTTTAAAAGTGGGTCCAGGTGATAATTGTACTTGTGGACCCTGCTATCTGGTTGATAATCAGAACACCAGGTACAAATACCACCCTATTCTGAATATCAGATGTAACTTCCTCCCCCGTCCTTTCTGCTGCCACTGAACTCCTAAATCTTCAGCACTTCCATGGAGTGGGGTATCAGGACCAGGGCTGCTCTTTACTAGGGATCTTCACTACCAGAGGAAGCAATGTATTTGTTGTGCCCCTCCCCGTGGAGTCCAGAGGAGAAGGAGCCAATTGTGGAGTTTATTGCTTTCCCTCTACTTTGCCAAAAGATAGGAAGGGGGGCATGACTTAAAATGGCTGAATTGCTCACAGGTGGTAAAGCCATGAGTGTTTTATGCTAGTTAGTCCAAACAAGTGTTGATAAAACCTTTACACAGCCCTACAGATCATTTGTTGTGTGAATGCCCTATATGCTATCTTAGAAATACTTGAGAGGTTTTAAAATTGTATATGATGGGTACTTTATAAATGCAAATAAATAAATAAATATTACCTGAGGAAAGTGTGCAACCTTAAAGCAGTTTTACAGAGGGAAAGAGGCTGGATTCTCCCACTCTTACTCATGTTAAGCTGTTACTCACTCAAGGAGTCCTGTTTAAACCAATGGGACTAAGTGAGGAGTATCTGAGGAGAATCTGACCCAGTATAAGCAGGACTAACTCTTGGGACATATCTGGACAATAATAGTGGCTATTTCCCATACTGTCAAACTTATGATTACATGCTGAATGATACTTGCCGTAGTTCAATTAGTAAATCCAATGTTTTCTTTGATGAATGCAAAATGTTTTATATCCTAATAAAATATCCTGCCATAGTATATGAGTCATTCTCATTGTGCTATTATTACTGGCGCAGGACAAGGCACTGCGAGTGTGCACTTATTCTGCTAGCAGCAGTAGTGACACTGAAACGGAACCAGAGTATGAAACAAATGACTTTGGAACTGCAGGGGAAAAGTTAGCAGATTTAACGAAGAACAAACGAGGTAACTGAAAATTTATACATGGCAATGTATAGTTCCGATCTCCATCCTGACAGCAGCTGATTGTGTCTTTCATTGTGTGGTTATTTTCACTTTTTAACTCTATCTTTCTTCAGATATAATTTTCCATTATGTATTTTTTATTATATATCCGCATCATTTTTTTCTGTTACACCATTCTTGCCACCATGGGCATAATTCTAAGGCTTTTATTCATAAATCCCTGTGGTGAACTAAAAAGGCTTTAGCTGCATTATTGCAGCAATAAAAAGGTCATTATAAAGATAACTTTTTTTTAATTACATAGTTTAGTAGTAGGTTAAAATAACTGGAATAAATTGCCTAGGGAGGTTGCCTAGGGAGGTTGTGGAATCTCCATCTCTGGAGATATTTAAGAGTAGGTTAGATAAATGTCTATCAGGGATGGTCTAGACAGTATTTGGTCCTGCCATGAGGGCAGGGGACAGGGCCGGCTCCAGGCACCAGCTAAAGAAGCAGGTGCTTGGGGCGGCCAATAGGAAGGGGCGGCACTTCGGGCGCTGTTGGGGCGGCATGTCCGGGGTCTTCGGCGGCAATTCGGCGGCGGGTCCCTCAGTCGCTCTGGGAGCGAAGGACCTACAGCCGAATTGCTGCAGAAGAGTGGAGCGGCGCGATCGCGCTGCCGCGGCTTTTTTTTTTTTTTTTTGCCGCTTGGGGCGGCAGAAAACCTGGAGCCGGCCCTGGCAGGGGACTGGACTCGATGACCTCTCGAGGTCTCTTCCAGTCCTAGAATCTATGAATCTATGAATAAACCCAATGAGCCATGGCCATAGCTTTCTAACTGTCTTGTGACAGTGGTACTGTTCACACGGCTATAGTTAAGGCTCTGTCAGCCTTCCCAGTGTATATTGCCACTTTTCTGAGGATCAAATTCAGTCACAAGAATCGACTCTGAATTTAAATCTAGCATGAAAGCTCAAGAGTGAATTCCTTGGGGTATTTTTTCTAAATTTTGAGGTAACTTGAGTGCTGGATTGGTGGCCCAGGAGATTGCTGTCTGCATTCGAACACCAGAATAGGTAATTCATGAGCAGCAGCAACAGTGGATGCCATCTTGCAATGTATGTTAGCCGTGTTATGGAGAAGACTCTCTGCAGTGGGAAAGTCCGGGCCCATTCCATCCTTGGCTTCCCTGCTACAAATGATTCAAGGGAGTGTATAGGGCCAGTACAAGAGCTGTGCACCAATGAACCCACTCAAGCCCTGAGGGCTTGTGCATTTCCTGAGAATTTAAGGGAGACTTCAGTGATGCATAGACTTTGTGCCGGCCTTTGCACAGGGGGTGAACTTGACCCAGCACATACAGTAGATGCTGCAGTGATAAGTGCATTAAAAATGCCACAGGCAGCTAGATATTGCAGATACCCAGGTGCCATTACTTTCTACCAGGAGCTGGACTGAGCGTTTGGCATTTGCAAGGATAATCCATTTGGGTGTTTTTCAGCAGCAAGAGTAAGGTTGCCAATTTTGATTGGATGTATTCCTGGAGGTTTCATCACATGACATAATCTTTAATTAAAGATTAATCTTTAATTCCTAGAGACTCCAGGACAATGCCGGAGAGTTGGCAACCCGAAGTGAGAGTGTAGGCGGTTGATTATTTTATTTATGGCATGCTCCTATTTTTTAATCTTTGATTATATACGAAATGTTGCAAGTGATTAAATCAAAGAGACACTCTTGATATTTTTCTAAAATGATATTGTAACATGAGAGAATCGTATTTTCTTAAATAGGTGTTGCCATATGTGCAATGATTTCTTTATCCATAACATGTGTTTTAAAGGATTTTATCAGGGCCGGCTCTGGCTTTTTCGCCGCCCCAGGCGAAAAAGCCTCCGGCCGCCCCCCCCCCCCCA